GAGTTTTTTTGAAGTTTAATTATATTTTTTTCATGTATATATATATATAGGAAATCTTTGGTTCTGAAGGTATTGAAATGTTAATTCAATTACTTGTAATAGAATCTCAATATGTTTGTGGTGGTCTTGGTTATCATCGTTTACTTGTTGCAGCTATTGATTGTGTATGGTGTTGTGTCGTTGGTAGTGTTATTAATGAAGATGAATTTATACAAAAACAAGGCATTTTTGCTTTACTTGATTTAATTGAAGTATAAATTAATATTTAATTTAAATATAGATTTTCTTCTTTCTTTTGAATAGACAAATCCAAAATCTTTACAAAATATTATTCTTGGTTGTGTATTAGATTTAACAGAAAATACAAAATGTCTTCATTTTATTATGACATGGCAAGGACATAAACAACAACAATTTACACATCTTCTTTGTGAATTATGGCGTGATGAAGAACATGAAATTCATGTAAAAAATAAAACAAAAAAAAAAAAGAAAATGAATATAATTCATATATTTATTTATTTATTTAAAAGGTTTCTCGAACAGAAAAAGGTGTAATAAATGATCATACAAAACCATTAATGGGTGTTCTTCAACAATCAGTTCAAATAACACCACTTGCACGTTTTGAACCATCACGATCAGTTTTAGATTTAATTGATAATATGCGTTCAAAAATTTATGGATTTTTTTGTAAATTAGGTTTTAGTGAATTACCTGGTTTACATGAAGAAGATTTTGTAACATTATGTATAATTGAAAATTTTCTTGATTTTAAAATGGGTGAAATATGGCAAGAAATTGTTACTGAACTTGATATAGAAGGTGTTAAATTAGTTGCACCTGATGGTGAAGCTGTAGATACAATTTTACGAGCAACAGAAGAACGTGGATTAGGTATGAAAATAAAATCAATTAAATATATATAATTTTAAAAAAATATTTATTTAGCTGTTGCTGCAACACAAAATTATATCTTAGAACAATATCATAAACAAGATTTACAATTTGAAAAAGCATTTTATGATGATGTATAAGAAATGAAAAATAATATTATGATTATCATTGAAATAGTTCTTTTTGCTTTTTTTTTTTTAAAGTTAATACGAAATCATACATTTAAAGAAAAACGACTTGAACAATGGAAAGCATATCTTGCTCGAACATCAAAATATCCATTACTTATGGTAAATAAATTTTACATAGAAGAAATTCTATATTTTATTTTTTGTTTTTGTTTTTGATTTTTTTCTTAGGCAGCAAAAGATTATCAAAATCAAGCTATACGACAATCACGACCAGACGAAAAAGATTATTCAGGTTATCATACTGTACACAATTTAGAAATTCCAAATCTATCGATTACAGTAAATATTTTTTTTTTCCTTCTTATAGATTAATTAATGATTTGTCATTGTTTGTATTTTTTTTCTTAGGCTTTTACTGGTCCATTCTTACAAATTGAAAGTACACCTGTTGAATTACTTAATAAACATCGTCAAACGGAATTAACTTCATAATAAAATATGCATTATTCAAGACATTTTTCAATCTAATAACATTATTTTATTATTGAAATAAATATATTGAATAGAACAAATTAACTTGTGATTAAGAAAAAAGATATTCTTTTCTTTTTCAGTTATTAATCTTATTCATATTATAGAAGCTACTGATAGAGTCCTGCAATCCGATCTGATCCATTGATGGATGTAGATGCAACTTTATCCGATTGAGTTGGGTGTAGATTAAACTTTGAAAACTGTCAAGTTCTTTTTTTTCTAACATAATCTATCGCTCTCTATGTACTTTTTCACGACTGATATAAAAATCAATGTGCTATGAAGCTATCGGTTCATATTGTCTTTAAATATTCTATTGATAATTCAAACAATTCTGAAACGATTACATAACTTATTATTCTCGGATTAATTCAATAGAGCAGATAGAGATTATTGTGCTTACATACTTCAAATTAAATATTAAATTCTAAATGATATTGTCTCAAATACTACTTAGAAATCAACACACAATTATCCTTTTTTTTTCTTCATTAAACGTTTCAAAAATATTTAATGATAACATTGGATACAATAGTAATCTGATAAATGTCGTTTCCTTTGCTTTGCTGATAGACATATTCGGAGACGAACATAGAAAATAGTTTTCATTTCAACATACTCTATTAAAAGAAAATAAGTATTAACAATTTGAAGTTTGAACAAGATTCTTTCAATAGAAAAGAAAAAAGATTCTTAACGGAAGTTTAGGATAAAAAGAATCTTGGCTGATTAATAAAGAAAAACAAGGATCTGGACAGAATAGATCCAAAAAGGTCGATTAGTGTGACATATCAAATTATGAAATGAAAGATGGATCTGCAGATCAAAAACAGCACGGGACCTGCACTCTTTGATATGTCCTGGCAATTAGATTGATTAATGTCGAGAGTGTCGTCAATCTTCAGAAGTGTTTCTTTCGAATTTATAATTTTTAACATTTCTAAAAGCAATGACTTTGATAACTGCTCTATACTATGTTCAACAATATAGAGAATGCCTTGTCGATCGAATGATACAGCACTCATTGACTATTGTATTTCACAAACGAATACCTAAAAGGTCAAAGTTTCGACCAAGTAGCTCTAAGAATGAGTATAGTTTCACATTTTTTTTCCTAATGCTTTCCTTTTAGTGAAATCGCCGACAGACTCGACGTCCAGTCGACGTACAACGATATACAAAAGGAATCGAGGTATAGTTCAAATACTGTTGAGTCACTATGAAGAAATTTTACTTACTTTTTTTTTTACTTTCAGTTGCTGACATTTATGATAAATATTTATCTATCGAAAGACCTTATTTCTGATCAGCAATCTAAGGAAATGCTCGTTCTATATCTGAGAAAACGAATCAATGCCAATTGTGGTATTGAAATTGTAGCGGTTGTTAACGATATTGAAACTTTGAAAAAATTTAATGCCGATCTTTATATTGATAAAGATCTTTTTCTCGCACATATGTACGTTGATACTTCCTGAATTTCGAATAAAAACGTATTCTGAAATGGTTTTCGTGGATTTTTTTTTAGAGAAGCACTATTCGCTTTACACATCCAAAACACCATTGCAAGTATACAACAAGCACTGGAGCATAGACAAAATAAAAATTTGCATCATTTTCATGAGACTACAGGTAAAACATGTGCTATTTGAAAGATTTTCACTAGAAACTGATTCGAGGAAAATTCAGTTTTTCTAATAAGTAAAAAACATATTTTTCCTATCTTCTTGAAATCACATATCTTTCCAATAATGAGTTCTTTGTTTCTCTCATGCTGTTAATTAGAAATAGATTTCATCGATATGATTTTATCTACTATTTAGATGATTCGGATCTCGAAGTGATTTATCGAAAATTTGAAATCAATCGACATCAAGTACATCTTTGGACGGTATATTATATAGCGTTAAAAAAAAATATCCAAATCAGCGAGAAAATTACAGATCCATGAAGTAGTACAAGAATCAAAGAGAAGATCTTTATTAATAGAAAGAAATAAAATGATGTAAAAGAAATTTCTTGATAAAAGTACTTAAAATGAATTGAACTTTGTAAAAGTAATTCAAAATATATAAACATGCTAAGATTATAGTCATTGAGTAATGCATTACATCAAGAATTTCAAACATCTACTAAAAGATTTTCTTGTTTCCTTTTTGAAATGTACTAAATCATAGATGGAAATTTGAAAGAAAAAAACAACTTATCTAACTTCTTGTAGATATATTCGATGAGGTTTTTTTATATTTTAGAAAGCCGAATTGTCGATCGACGAAAAAAGCGAAAATTTCGTACTCATTCATAAGGACTTCATATTCTATATAACTTAATTATTGTATCTATTTCAAAATAGGTTTTTCTTTCTGTCTGTTTTAATTTTTTGTGAATAAACATCAGAGCTATACATAAATATCAATCACTGCAATTGCATATCTACGAGGAAAATGTATCAGTACGTTCAATCATTAGTCTAGTGAAACGACAGTACTACTGTCTTGATATACGTTTCTTGAAAATTAAATCAAGACTGGAGAACTTTGGATGTAAAAGACTTTTGAATTCGATCAACTTGAAATAGGACAAGCTGAACAGTTACGAACAGCAAAACCAATATCAATCTTGATGTCAATCATTCTGCATATATCATCAGCAAATTCTTATTAAAAAAAAAATGAAATGAAATTATTTCTTAAACAACTCATATACATTTATTGGATCATGATGTTGTACTATCGGATTGTCTTTTAGGATGATCCTATTACAAGTGAGTAATCGATAACTATGAGTAATTTAACCTTTTATTCAAGACTTGTAGCGACTGAGAAAGGCAGTCAAAATCATTTCGAAGGATAAGAACTCTTCTCGAAATCGAACTGTTTCAATAGTCGAGATAAAATCATTCTATTCTTTTATATCTATCAATCAATCGATTCTCAGTCATACAGTTATTGTTTTCTCTTCTCATTCACGTAGAGAAACAAACCAAACAAATTGATGGTATACACAGCATTATTCATAAAGATTCATTCGCAATAAATGAATATTGATAAATATAGGGATTTTCAATGATTTGTCGATTGACAATGGAATATTGTTGATGAATTAAAAATCTAAAGATTCTCAATTTCTTTTGGTTTCTATAAATTCAAAATTTAATAACTCTGATCATCATGTAATAATGATCGATAGAATCCATAACGATGTCACTTCGTAAGAGACGTATAAAGATGGAACTGTAAGAAAGAGGATACTTTCTTTTGCATGCATAAATACAGTATAATTGGAAAAAACCAATCAATTACGTACGTGAATCATAAGCAAAATTACATCATGTAACAACAGAAATAGTTTATTTTTCTTTTGCTCAGTTATTCTCACATGAATAAGAATTGATATTTTTTGTTCATATTCCGAAATATGCTCATTTTCATTTCATTATGAAATCTCATCTAGTGTCTTTTTTGTTCTTATTTCTCAATGTTTGGATTCTCCACAAGCAAAGGAAAACGAACATTGGAGAATAAAATTGAACTTTGGAGCTGTTTTCATAAAAAAAGTTTCAAAACACATAATTAGTCTTCAACGTTAGGAACTCATTCGCAGCAGTGTTCAGAAAGACGTGAGCGTAGATGATTTCAGCGAAAACTCACAACAACATCCACATCCTATTTATTCATTTTTAACGTACATTCATAACAAACATTGAAATATGAATGATAGAAAAATGTACAATACATTCTCTTATATAAAATAAACGCTCTTTAAAAACAAAGGTTGTAAACGAATAAATCAATTATTACACCAAACATGTTATTTTAACAATCTCTTCCGAAAAATGACTTTTTTTTTTATGGTGTCTACATTCAGTTGTTGTACAAGCTTCATTAAATTTTATTATAAAATTAAGCGTGAAATTTAAAAGTACATTATGATGCAATATAAATTTTCTGTTTGATTTTTATTTTATATTATTCAGATAATTGAATAAAGAATTTATTTCTTCGTTTCTTGATGATAATCTATGTATCATATATTATTATCGTTCTTTGCTTTCGATTTAGACAATATGAGTTATTTACAATAGAATATATTATTTCATTGTGTTTTCATATTATTATTATTATTCTTTAGAGTAAATAGATAAATATTAAAAGAAAATTGTAGAATGCAAAATAGGTATATGATACCATGGTTTTAACTAGTAGTAGATGATAAAACTATTTTCTCTTTGAAAACTGTTAATATAGGATAGAAAATTACTTTGATCAAAACAATGATTACAAGGATGTTAATAAAGCCTCTTTTAGTACGAGTTTTTCTTGTACAGTTCGAAAAATAGGTTAGTTTTAGAAGAAAGTGTCTCAGAACTTGAAATAATCGCATAGACTCCTCGAGCAGAACATAAAACAATATAGGCTACTTATTACTGGTCGTGAAAGACATCTAATCTTATATTTTTCTTACATATAAGTGGAGAAATTCAAAATTCTTATAGCTATTCATATATTCTTTCGCTCGCCTGTATGTTGATTCTAACCTGAAGTACATTGAGAATTCATTGATTTGTACAGTTATTTTTTGTAAATATTTTATATAGACACTGATTTTAACCTTGAAATTGCACATAAACATCTGATCTAGATCCATCATATATATATGTCACTCATATGAAAAAAAACCAATATGACACTCTATAAAATCTAATTTTCTTGAATATAAAATTATTAATTAAAATAAAAATAGCATATTAAAAAAAAGAAAAGAGATTCAAATTGAGTCTAGTCTTAATTGAAATTGAATTTATTGTTTTTTGTCTTCTTCGTCTTCTTCATATATCTTACGAAGTGCTCGTAAGAATTCTCGTTTTAACTTTTCATTTTGACATCGTGTTTGAATGTCTATTTTCAATGCTTGATATCCAGCTGTATTTGAAGCATATGTACCATCACTCAAAACATCTGTATTAGATTGTGACCATGTCAAACCATTTTTAATTGCACCTTGCAGGAAACATATCACTTCTGGTATATCCCGTGGATCTAAAAAGAAGATGTTATGTTCAACAATTAAATTCTATTCATAATCATACTTTTTGAAAGGCATAATTTATTGCATAAAACTACATTATCTTCATCTCGAAGTTCAAATCGAAAACCATGACCAATGGCTATATCAGCTTCAGAAACTAAGACTTGTTGTACTGGATCTTGTAATTGATAATATGATCCTTTAATATATAAACGTACTTTACAATCTTTTGCCACATTTTCTAAAGGTTTAACACGACTACGAAAATTTTCATGAAGTAATAATTTATCTCCTATTATATATTTGCTTGAACCATATGCTTTAATTTGACATTTTGGTTTAGCTATTTAAAAGAAACTTAAAGAATCTTACAATTAAAAAGAATAAACTTACAATTGAAAAAAAAACCTTCCGTGAAGGCTATTGAAAGTAACAAAAGGATGAGAATACGAACTTGCATTTTTTTTCCTGTGATTTGATGTATTTAACCATGGAATATATACTCGGTTATAAAATATTTTTTATAATGATTGTAGTCCAAAGATGGTGAATAATCATGATAACATTATTTAACTCCAAACAACTGAATCTACATCTCTTTTTTTATTGGTCCCACCTGTTTTTTTATTCTTCATGGATCCATAAATCGGACGTCACAATATTTACTTGTGATATATTATTCATGAGAAAAAAAAATAGTAAGTATTATATGCTTGTTAAATGGAAAGAGAAACTAAAAGAATAGACAAAATATTGGCATTTTACTTTCGTTTCGAAATATAATGTTTGCGATCAAACTAGTATACATATTTAATCAGCTCACATCTTGACATCTTATTTATCAGTATCATTAGATCAATTTCATAAAAACTAAAAGCAACAGAAAAAAAAAGAGTAAGACAAATATTTGTTAGAAACACAAACCCAGCAATGACAATAAGTAAAAATAGCTGTTCTATGCCATATTGTTAAGTCAACCTATGTTTTCAATAATAGATCTTATCTGAACACTTTGTTACAATTGATGGTGAGGGTGTGGGCGTTAGTATTCTCTTTATTGATACTAACATCCACATCCACACCCTAATCGATGTGCCAATAATGCCAAAATGTTTTAGATTTCCATAAAAAGTAAATATACGTGCGTGTACAAATACAGCCACCATGGCTGAGTAGTTACGTTGTTCGACACGTACCCACAAGGTACTGTGTTCAAACCTCAGTATCATCAGTCATGGAATGATCATGAACAAGTCATTAATGGCTAACTGTCTCGGATGATACATTCAATGGCGTATTGACTACCTCGTTAATCAGTATGTAGGGTATGGGTGTGGTTGATAAGCAGAGTCACATCCATACCCGTATTCCGCACCTACATCCTCCTTTACAGGAGAATTATAAAGGTTCAAATAGCCACATCTACCTGGTAGTTTTTATGTACCAACTTCATGGTCGATTTAACTCCACAAAAACATCAAATAATAGCTGAATCGGGGCTGACGGTGATATCCACATTGTAGTGTATCCTCTCAGCAAGACTAAAATTGTTACCAACAAGTTTCTTATTCTTTTCAATTTGTTGGTTTATAGTTAAAATAATACAATTTCTACGTTCGTAGATAGCTTTTATAATATCGGGACTGCTAATATTGCTTCGTGAAGATGTGGAAACTAAAGTCATTGAAGATGAATTCGATATGATCGTAGTGTTATCGGTATTGGTTGTGATAGTTGCAAAAAATTACAAGAGACACAAACACTCCTATCTTGTCTTAAAACTCGTGCTGCTTCATCTCTCTTCTTCGTTAAAAGTTCAATTAAATGGAAAAATGAACTCTTTTGCTAGGATGAATAATATAAGTATTATTATCAAGCTTAATATAAAGAGACAACTTGAAAGAAAATAAACAGTTGAATCGAATTTAAGAATACCAAGAACACAATTACAATACAAATAAATATCATCACTACTGACAATTTGAGTAAATCCGCTTGTTTTCTTTCCGACGTATTCGTTGACGAAATGATAAAACTGCTTATCGTGATAAGAAAAAATATTAATCGGAAAGATGACTGATGTTCATAACAGGCTTTCTTGATGTCATAAAGAATTTACTAAGCTTTAATATTATAGACTACAAGTGAGAGACATCACATCAATAGAGAAATAAATAGTGAAAATATGAAGAGATCAGTATGCAAACATCACGAGATAATGTTTTTATTCTTTTTTTTAGTCAGGAGAACGTTGCTAACATACATATGTGTTTGTGAAAAAAATAGTATGTACGGTGGAGGC